GTCCCGGGCCGCGGAGCCCTGCGCCCCCCAGGTGAGGTCCCCGGGGCGCCCGGACCGGCGCGGGTCCCGGTGACAGCGATCGCTGCGGTCCGAGCCGGCGCGCCCTCCGAAGCCCTGGGCGTCCCGGCCCGACCAGGGCGCTCTTTGGGAATCTTGGCGGTGAAGCCCACCGCTCCTTTCTTCCGAAAAGGCGCGGAGGCACGGGTGGTTTTAAGGTTACAGGCAACTCCACTGAATTTTTCTTTTCGAACCACGGACAAAAGGCTGGTTCATTCCCTGTCTCTCTGTCTCTGTCTGTCTCTGTCTCTGTCTCTCCCCCCTCTCTTTCTCTCCCTCTCTCCATTTCTTCCGTTCACCCAGGGTCCCACGTCCACCCTCTCGCTCTCTCCCTCTTCCTAATCGCCCGTCTCCCAAACACTTTCTGTTTTCTCCCTGCTTGGCCATCTTATTCCTCAGGGACAGAGAGATACAGGAGCAGCCCGAGCACAGGCAGCCAGAAGATCTGAGGCTGGCGGGGGCAGGGGTTGGGGGTGGAGTGAGGAACCAGGGCTTGCAGTCTCCTTCAAAGGGGAATCCTTTCGAAGTTTTCTTCCTAACAACCAGACTAGCTTCATTTGCTTTGTCCTTCTTCATCTCCAAAGAAGCCCTTAGAGATGTTTAGGCTGAGCTATTTTCTGATGCAACCCTAGCAGTGGTGGAATATTATTCACTCAAGGCAAATACTTGTAAAACATCAGAGAGTTTGATGTCTGAAGTAACCTCTTCTGATGAACCCCTAAGGTTGGCTCCTGGTATACTGGGAACAGGAACTCCTCCTATCCATAATTTTAGCCTGACCTTTCTCACTGCTTCTCCTGCACCCCTTTGGCTCCCCAATTCATTTTAAGGGGAAGCAGGAGATTCACACTTTCTGCTTTTGTTCCACACTGATTCCTAGAAATACTACGCGATAAAGTCTGCTTTTTATGGGTACTCTGGAGAGTGAGTGTATTGGTACCTTGTATTTGAGTGGAAGAGTGCCCCGGGAGAAGGAAGTTTGGAAGAGAAGCATGACCACCGAGGCTAGCCGCCGCAGCCATGCCCTCGCTGTGGTCTAGGCAAGGGCGCTTGGACTGCCTGCTTCACGTTAGCTAGACTCTGGACACCTCAAAAACGCCGTGGTTTGAGTTTGTTCTGGTGACCGCTTTACCAATAAAGACTGTGCCTGGCGCAAGGCTGTCAAATGATGGGAATGTAAGGGACCCCACTGGGTGTCCGTGAGGCCTGGAGCAGCTCTGGAAGGAGGGATGGCTGAGGGAGATCACACGCCAAACCCACGCTGGCTGTCAGAGTTTAGTAATTGTTTATCCTTCACCTTGAAAAGACTGCTTATTCATGTTTTGATTCCTTGTTAGTCAGATATATACACATATCCGAGACTTCCTTGTGATTGAGCTTTGTAGGTTACCAAATCGGACAGCTATAGTGACTGACAGAACAGAGGGAAGGTGAAGAAATATGTGAACAGGAAAAACTTTTAAAAAAAGGTGGTGGCAGCGTAGAATTTCTCACCTAATGGGCTGGTCATTCTCCAATTCTACAGAATAAGTTGAAGTGTATTTCAGCTTGAAAGATCAATTAATGTGAGGTCATGAAGTGTTGGTCAGCCCAAGCGTGTGATCCAGACTGAAGAACTTTTGCATGTGGATCCTTAAAACTGTGTATTAAGAGTCTCAGTTTTGAGATATAACTTAGGTCCATATACTTTATATTTTTTGAAACAGGGTCTCACTCTGTAGTTCAGGCTGGGCTTGAACTCACTGTGTAGCCCAGGCTGGCCTGGACCTCACAACAATCTTTCTGCCTCAGCCTCCCAAGTGCTGGGATTACAGGTGGAATTACAGGCCTGGCTTGGTCCATGTACTTTAACCTTTTTTGTATGTATCATGTACCAAACGCCTGTGATACATAAATGGACTTATTCATCACCACAAACTTAAGAGGAAGGTGCCGATATTCTGACTTGATAGAGGAAAAGAACTGAGTGAAAATGTAGGCATGGTGGTGCATGCCTGCAATCCCAGCACTCAGGAGGCTGAGGCAGGGGGATTGTTGCGAGTTTGAGACCAGCCTGGGCTGTAAGGCCAGCCTGAGCTGCATAGCCAGACCCCGTCTCAAACACACACACACACACACACACACACACACAACGAGTGAAGAAATTGAGTCTCCCAGAAATTCTTAGAATTCTCAGGTTACTGAATGGTGTCCCTGAGGTTTGAACTCAAGTTTTAGAGGTCTCAGATCTATGCTGTTTCCACTGATTCCATCTATCTACCTATCTATCTATCTATCTATCTATCTATCTATCTATCTATCTATCTACCCATCTGTCCATCTATCTATAATCAATCATCTGTCACTTGAATATATAAATGTGAGTTATATTTGTTTATGTACAGTTGCCTAAACTATAAATTATATATCACTAACTTTGGTAAATTAGGCTCCTTATAATCAGGTAACTTAAGTGAACCGTGAAGGGTTTTGAGCGGCACTTCTGGCTGACGAGGGGGTGACAGGCAAATGGGTCAGGGAGCGAGCACTTCTGGGTCACTGGAGGAAGGCAGGCCATGGCACCATCATCTGAGGACCCCGGAGCATGGACTGCGGGAGTATACACAGAGGGCAGAGAGCGGGTTTTACCTCCTTTCTCAATCTGGGTTTGGGGCTTAGGGAAAAAGGGATCTTAGTCACCGAGCTCCACTTTGTCTGCTATCACTGTAAGCATGTCAGTGTCACTGGGTCAAAAGGGAAAAGGAAATTGCAGGCAGCAGAAGGAGACTGGCTTTTTTTATGGCTTATGACAGGGGCTCTGACTCAGAAGTCCCAGGGACATTTTCAGTGATGGTAGGCTCGTCATCACAGTAATGAAAAAATAAACTGGTCGTTTTGAGGTGAGCAAGGCTTATCTGAATGGGCTAGGTAAAATTCACACCATTACTACACGACGTTCACCAGTCTAGGACACGGGTCAGCTGGCTCTTTGTGCTTGGTTCTAATGCATGAGTTAAATGCCACAATAAACGGAAAAAGTACAGACTTTCTTATATAGTAGGAAAAATTTCTCTGGTCTACATAGTATCTGATTGAGCTGAAGAGAAAAGTTTTTGGGACCCAAGAGATGACCAGTGCTGCTATTTTATTTAGACCCTAACCTGAAGAGAGATGTGCGTGTGGGGGAGTGTTCACAGGAAAGCGCCCCAAATCTGGAGCCCTGTAATGCAATCAGAGAATTCGGATGCAGCTTGCAAGTATCTGTGGAAATCACCTTGTTAAGAACCTGCCTGTGGACTGTCATGATCTAGAATTGGAAAACAGAGAATGCAGAAGCCAGTGAAGGAGACAGTATATATCTTCAGGGTCCAGCTTTGAGGGAGTCTCAGATAGCACAGATATCACACCTGTGCTACATCTGATATTCTTCCCCCTCAGGGAGCTTGGGAATCTCTTAGGGATGCTTGTAACAAATACCGATTCCTTGGTTGACGCCCATCCCAGAAGCATTACATTTTTGTTTGGTTCCACGTGTCTGACACACTGTTTACTTGTTTGTTTGTTTGTTTTTTTGGAGACAGAGTTTTGCTGGCCTTGAACTCACTGTGTAGCCTACAGTGGCCGGAAACTCATGGCCATCCTCCTGCCCCAGCCTCTGGAGAGCTGGGAGACAGACTATTTATCATGAGTTGAATTCCGTGAGATTAATTATGCAGAGAGAATGGTCCGTGCTCTTGGTAGGGTGGGGGATACAGCAGAGAAGGACACAAACCTGTAAGAGGGAAGCTTCGGGCTGAACAGGAGGAGGAATTTTCTGTAGAAAAATGTGTGTAATTCTGAGCTGAATTGCTCCAGGAAGTTACAGAGTATTTAATAGTCTTCTCAAACCATGAGCGCCCTCATTTATGAAGGCACCTTAGCCTGAAGAGAGATGTGTATACGGGGGAGTGTTCAGAGGAAAACACTTCAAATCCCCCAAATCGGGAGCCCTGTGACGCAATCAGAGAATCCAGGTACAGCTTGCAAGTATCTCTGGAAAGCACCTTGTGAAGAACCTGCCTGTGGCCTCTCATTCTTGGTTCATTTAAGATAATTTCTTTGTGTGTGACCTGGCTGCTTCTTAGTAAGGACTGCAAACAGCAGGGGCTGATTTTGGTCACAGGAGCTCTACGGGTGGGAGCTATATTTTAGCCCCTAGGAGGTTAAAGACTCCATCTACCTGGATGTGTTTTTCCACTATGCCTCTTGAACCCTTGGTTTCCATAGCTTTAGCGCAGTCCTGCAGTCCTGAGTGGGGGTGAGTGAAGGCCCCACCCTTGCACCCTAGAAGCACACCTGACTCAAGAGGGCTTTCCCCTGTCCAGGTACCAGGACCTACACTGCTCCCTGCACACCTGTGATATGCTGGACTCAAGGATCCAACCCTGAAGGGTTCTACCATTTGACCCCTCTTCTAGAATTTCTTGAAGTACATTCTTAAAATTTTTGAGCTGTGGAATGTGGTAGCCATACCTGTGACCCTAACACTTGCGAGGCTGAGGCAGGAGAATAGCGGTGAGTTTGAGGCCGACACGAACTACATAGTGATTTCAAGGACAGCCAGGAATACAAAAGGGAGACCCTGTCTCAAATTTTTTTTTTTTTTTTTCTGGGGTCCTCTGCAGGAAAGCAATACATGTTTATGAAATGCCTGCTACCTGTAGGAGGCACAAGTGTGGAATGTCAGCCCAGGGACGTTCAAGAAGCACCCTCCCTCTTCGTGGTTTCGGTTTACCTGGAAAGATAAGGCTCGTTTCTGTTTGTGTTTGAACAGGAAACCAGGCAAGATGGTCGGTAGCAGCACAAAAGAAGCTGCAGAAAGGACAGGAAGGCTTGACCTGGTTCTCGAAGGGAGGCGGGGCCTAGGACCAGGCATTCTAAACCTTGTAAAGTGGTTGATTCACTTTGAGAGGTTAAAAATGACAAACGAGAGTCTGGTCCACTATGTGCCTGTAGGGCCAGGGATATGTCCATCCAAGTCCTCCCAGGTGTTTCAGATATGCAACCAGGCCAGGGGCCCTGGAAGATGTGTGAAATGCCTTCCTAGCGTGGACTAACAACTTCCTTTTCTGATCGCCACAACCAAAGTAAGGACGGGAGAGAAAGTGAACAGGTTGTCGATTCAGGAGTGCCTGCTGCTACTTTGTGGGACAGGTGAACACTCCTAGTAAACTGAGGGGTGATTTCTCCCCTTCTGTGAGCACCTAGTGTCTGTGTAGTGGATGTTTTGTGCACATAATCTGCAGTTTTTACAACAGGCCCATGAGCTAGATTGTTTGTGCACAGATTGTCCTCGACTTCACATGGATTTTAGTGATGTTTTTTGACTTTACAAATACACCGTTAGTACAAACCATACTTTGAATTTAAGCTTTTGATCTTTTCTTGGACCGGTGATACTGTCTTGTGAGGCTGCACGGTGGCAGCCTCACAACTTCTGACTCAGCCGTGCAGCTGTGAGGGTTAGCCAGTGTTGCTGTGCTGTGTGTCTGTGTTGCTAAGCTGTAATGATTGCTAAATTAGATGTACGAACTACATTTTCAATTTACACTATTTTTAATGTAGAAGGGACTTACTGGGATTTAACCCATAATGGTATACCTTGGAATGGAATCCAGGAATTTAAGATTGAGAAACATATTTTTTGTGTGTGATATTTCATCATTTCTCATGGTCTCCCTGTAGGAATGTCCTAACAGTGCTTTGGGAAGGTGCGGAGTCAGAACCATTTAGGGGCAGAGAAGGCACTGTCAGTAGGGTTCCTTCAAGCAGCCAGGCACACTCATGATGTGGAGCTCCACACACTGATGCAGGAAATTTCGTGCAAAGCGGAGCGTGTGAGAGCTTTGAGGTGACACCCGCAGGGCGTAGTCCTGGCTCACCTAGTCCTGGCTAACCTCTAAGGGGAAAGTTGGAAGTGGGCTAACACCTACCTTGAAGGGTTGTTAGGATTACATGAAGCCACACTGGTGCTCTGTAAACCAAAGCAGTGGTAATTATTTTCTTTGACCCTGTACTCTGACTCACTACACATGGAAGCTTATTTGCTACTGATCCGCACATCTGTTCTTTTGTTTCCCTTCCCAGATCTCTTTTTATGTAGAATTGAGACCACAGCAGTAGCCTCTTAGCTTTTCTTGGTATGTCTAGTTCACACATTTTTCTCTTAATGTCCAACTCAGCTCCTCTGTTCCAAAAACCTTCAGTGGCTCACCAGCACACACCCAGATGAATCTAGCCTTTTCCAGCAGCAATCACACCTCGGGAGGATGATCCAATCCTGCACTCTCTACTCTCAGCTTTCATCATTTGCTTCTGACACCTGCATTCTCATCCTCAGACTCCACTGCTGGCTGGTTCTATTATGAAGAGACCTCATGCACACTCTTTCCTGGGTTTAAATTGCCTTTGAAAGCCCGTCTTTAATACAGGAAGATGGATACTGCATGTTCTCACTTATATGTAGAAGCTAAAGAATTGATCTCATGAAAGTAGCCTAGTGCTTTTCAGAGTCTGGAAAAGGTTTAGGAGAGGCAGGGGAGAGAGGTTAACACACACAGAGATAAAGTTGGAGAGCGAGAATGACTTCTGTTCTGTAGCACTGCAGGGCACCTATGATTGACAACAATTCATTGTATACAGTATTTCAAAATAATAGAGAGGATTTTGAATGTTTCTAACACAAAGAATGGTAAGTGTTTAATACACACATTGTATACTGGTATTGAAATAACACGTCACATCCCATGAATATATACAATGATGTGTCAATTAAAAAATAACACGTGTCCATAAGTAAACTATAAAAAAAGTTTGTCTTTCAAAATCCTGCCTATCCTTTCTACCTCAGAGCCCACAAAGCCTTACGTTGCTAACTTTTTTGTGAAGTGCCATTCTGTCCAATAGCTCCTTCTGTAAACTTGATTCAGAAGTAGGCAGCCCCTTGAGGTCAGGACTACTGCCTTCATTTCTCTATCACTGACCCCCTAGTAGGGATTCAAGAATATTTATTAAGACAAAATTAAGACTCTTTCTTTGCTTTTTAGGTTAACAAGGAAAATCCCTGGAGCTCTTGTAATAGGACTGTGGTTGGAAGGTGTAAACTGTGGATGGTCATCGCTTCCATTTTCCTAGGTCTCATTATAGTGATCATCATAGGTTTATGTCTCACTGGAGGTAAGAGGATTTCCGTGTGACTAAGTCAACATATTTTAAGAACTTGTTTAATGCTTGTGATTTTCATTGAAATGCATCCTGCCCATTGCTAGTTCACTATTTATAACATAAATTTTATGACCTGTGGAGAACCACCTTGACCACTCTCTTTGAAAGAAGAGCATTTGGTTCTCCCTCTGTGTACTGATATGTGCAGAGGTGGCTAGGACAGTTCCTTATCCCCTCAGTTTGCTTTAAGCAATGCAAATGGGTCTAGCTGAGGTGCTGATGTGTAGTCTTTAAAGCAGCGTGACAGGTCAGTGATGCCCTGCCTGTAGCTCCCAAGTAGTATGCATGAGGCAGGCCAAGAGATGCCACGCTGTCCACTGAGAGCAAGCCTCAGAAAAGAGGCTATGACTTCTCAGGGAATAAAAATTACACATCCAAACTGAAGCACTGACCCCAGAACACTGGATACTGCCCTAATCTGTGATATGCAGGTGACTCTTTCTGCATCTCTCTCTCACTCTGCATGTTGCACAGGTGATTTCAGGCCTCTTACCTAGCCCAGCTCATGGCACTTTCCTCCACTCTCAGTCACTCCTCCACAAGCCACTCCCCTCTTCATGAATTAATAAAATCTGGGTTCCACCCTGGGTCGAGGCCTTTGTTCCAGTTAGCCATTATTCTGACTGGATTTAGGACCCACCTCACTCCCCAAAACCACAAATATGCCTTAGTGTGTTTATTCTCACCATGGGTTGCACTGGAAGTGGTAGATTGGAATTAACTTAATAGAATTCCAGTAACTTTTCCATGGGATTACAAATGTCAACTTTTCTCTTGGAATTGTGGATGTGCTGACTGAGCAGTGAAGGAGGTTTTTTTATTCTTAGCCAAGAATAGGAGAACCAGGAGATAAATTCCCCAAATCAACTGTTCTCTTTTTGAGGGTCATGCAGACATAAAGTAAAAGAATGAACAGTGGAGGATTGGCTAATAAAGAGAAAAACTAACTATGTCTTTTCTGGGAATGAGCAGAGATTTATTTGGGAATTCAGCCATTACCTCTTCACTTCTTTTGTGGTTCTTTCCCATTATTGTCCTGTCAGTTGTCAACTGTCAAGGCACTAGGGGGTGTGTCACTTAGCATGCAGATTAAATTATAATGAAGCTAGAGGTTGTCTGGTGTCACTCTGGCAGCCGTCTTAGATCCAGCCACTTTGGATTTACCCACCTGAAATACTTGTGGCCTTTGAAAGCATCCAGCTCTCAAAGACAAAATGAGGATGAGATAGAAATTAAGTAGGTCACCTGGGTAGTATATGATTAGGGTGGGAGAACTAATGGAAGCTAGTTGAAAACTAATTGAACTAATTGAAAACTGGTTTGGAATATGTTGTGTGAATAAGATTTTTTGTTGCTTTATTTTGTTTGTTGTTTGTTTTATAAATTCCAGAAGTACGGAGACCAGTGTTTCATTTTAAATTCTTCTCATTGGATCTTAAAGAGATTTAAACATTTTTTAACATAAATAAGCATGAATCTATATTTTAGTATATCTTAGGCCACCATGCTCATTTGAAGTTTTTTTCTTTTTTTGATTTGTTCAGTACAAGTAATTATCAAGGTTACCTTGTATATTTGACATATAATGATAAAATAATGAGTAATATATTTGAGGTTTAAAAACTTTATAGACCATGTCTCTGCAAGCTAACATTATTTAAACTTATTTTAGAAAGTTATATTGTATTTTATGGTATATGTGTATAAAATAAAAATATACATTTGCTAATGATCTACTTTATATTGTTATTTATTTGATTTAAAATGATACATGTTCAGTTATCCATACAATGCATTCATATTGTTAATAGTTATGTGTTCTTTTAGTCATACTTGCATTTTTAAAATAATTTGAAACTGGATTTTTTAATAGTGTGTAGCTTACCTTAAGGATTTTAAATGTTATATTGAAATCATTTTGCCAAGTCACTATTTTTAAACACTTTTAGATTATCAATTTTGTATGATTTTTATTTATTTATTTATTTATTTTGGGGTTTTTCTCTGGTACCAGGAATCGAACTCACGACCTTGAGCTTGCCAGGCAGGCACTGTGCCACTGAGCTAAATCCCCAGCCCCTATTTGTATGATTTTTGAAAAGCTTTTATGATGTGTCCAAATAACGTGCTCCAGTGCACAATAATTTCTATCTCAAATAGGCAAGGAGGAAATTGTTTTTGTTGTGTATGTAGGTGATGGTGGCTGGATTTCCCAAGGGCGATCTGGCTTCCACAAGGATTCGGGTTGACCCAGTCATAGGGTGAGAGCAAGAACGGGAAGTCCCTAAGTTTCTGTGGAGAGAGTTCTAAGGAATTTGCCTCAGGAAAATATATTTGCCACTCAAGCTCCTGTTTTCCTTCTCCAAACCCCGTAATTTCCTGTCTCCAGGTTTTGTAGTTTGTGGAAGAACAGAAACACTTTGATGACATCAGCCAACATCAGCTCATGAGTTTCCAGGCGCGCACTGTGTCTATTGATTACTTAGGGCTTGGTTTTGGTGGGGTATATGATTGTTTGAGGACACAGGGTGGTTTTAAGTAAGAAACCGCACTCTCCATCTTGCTGAAGATGGTAGGTTTGGGTGATCATTGACACTTCCTTTACATATCAAGTCCCACATATGGGCATTGGTGCAAAATTCTTGAAAGGTGACTGATTGATCTATCTAGTAGTATCTGGAGCTTATAATAAAACAGATCTAGGCATATCATTACTTAGAATTCTAAAGTACAAGACCCAAGATCTATCTTCCCTTCTCAGACAGTTGTCATCTGACCTCAACTGACAAATAGCAATCTCTAGAGATAGGAATTTCCATTTCTTGTGCTAGTTTTTCTGGAGACATGAAAGATCATGTGGCTCTACTCAAGGAAGAATGTTTTAACAGAAGAATTTTGTCTTACATGCTAATCTTTATTTTTAATTTGATTATAAATTTGTGTTTTAACATATGTTAATGCTGTAAGGAAGATTAAGCTTTTTTTTTAATCCAGCAAATACTTTTATCTCAGTTGGCATCTCAGCCATTAGATGTTTGGCCTGCAGAGAGAGTCGTGGTAACTATACAGAAGGCTTCAAATTTAAAGACAATCTGTGTTTTCTTAACTATAGAACAGAAATACATTATTAATATTTTGTTATATTTTCTTCTAGAGTTTTTTTTTGTTGGCATTTTAAAATAATTTGAGATCAGAGTTTTTATACTCTTCTAGCCTATTTTTAAAATTTTAAGTTATCTTGCAATCATTTTGCCAAATCTCTAAACATTCAGGGAAGAATATTTTGTGGTGGGGGAATGCACAATAATATATTGTAAAAATATACATTGTAAAAAAGTGTGGGACAAGGGTCACCTCTCTTATAGTCCCAGCCTTAACCAGAGCTACTCTGTAGCCAACTTCTCTGACGACAATCTGCCAATAATCAACCGTTGCCTTAACGCCAAGGCCATTGGTATGAATCAACTATTTGTATGACTCCCACGTATTGTTTAGAAAATGTTGTTTCCTGGGAAAAGGGCGGTGTTGGGAGAGTCCAGCGCTGCACCTACAGTTGCCTGGATCCATTGGAGACCAGGGTTCCTCAAAAACTGCAGTTGCACTTATCTTCTGCCTTCCCTCCTGCAATCTCCTCAATCTCCCGTCTCAAAGCTTTTTAGTCTCCAGACTGAGGTTGGAGGCAAAGTTTGGAGGTAGTAACTGTACTGTTGAATTGGATGCAGAACAGGACAGTAGATGCATTCCAGAATGGAAAGGACAGCTAGCTGGGGAAGACAGCAGGGTAACCAGGGCAGAGTGCCCGGTGGTATATTGTCACCAACATTATTAAGATGTGTGAGCATGTGGTGATATTTAAAGCAGGCTCACTTGGCAGTTGGTATTAATGTTGTTGCTCATTCCTCCAGACTGTACAGCCCTTATTTCCTACAGCTTGGATGACTTTGCCCAAATCTCTGCCCTGGGTGTGCATTGAAGCCATGGAAGCTTCAGGGCCATGACTTAGCTTCAGGCATTGAGTGTGAACAGGGAAAACAGGTCAGTAACCCAGACTCATAGATGACACTGAGCTTTAGTTAAATGGCCAGTTTTATGGGGAGAGCCTCGGTAATTCTACTGAGAGTAGAGGTCTGACTTTGCCCCTGCTTTATAATAAAAAAGGTGTGAATAGCTTCTCTCCTGTCTGAGGAATTATGAATTTCTTGGTACGAAGGGTAATGAAAAAAGAAGAAAAGGTTTCCATCGCTCAAAGTCATTTTACCGCCTGGATAATTTGGAGAAGTGCCCAGTTGTGTCTTCGAAGGTTTTCCTTTCTTCACTAATTCACCTCAGCCAGGAAGGAAAAAGCTCTTGAGTAAGACTTTACTCATAAAAATCTTTGACTAACAGGTGGCTGCTTAAAAATATGATGTCAAGTTGCAACACTCTGAGACCTTCCTGCGATATTACCCAGTATTGTAGTTGCCTGCCTGAGTCTTTCAGTTTCTTAATTTACGGGCCCCTCAGTGAGAAGGAATGCTGTGGCCCTGAGGAGTAAGGAGGGACTTTGTCAGTGGCCAGGTGTTGGCCAACGGTTAGTTTTCTCGGAGCAGTGCTGCCTGGTGTAAGGTGAGTCATGGGGAAATCCTGGTCAGATAAGGTTAACAAGCCGTAAACTCCTAGGTCCTGCAGAGCAGTAACATAATAGCAATTCTTTAAGTTTCTTTAAGTACCTTTGTTTTTTTACATTTTCATCTTTCTGTCAAACCTCATATTGCTCTCCCTCACCAAGACTAAATCCTTTACCTTTCATCTCCACACAATACTCTCTAGGTCAGTGGTGGTGAACCTGTGGGACATGACCAGAGCAGGCTGTTTGCATCATTGGAAGCTCTAAAGGATTCGCGTCACCACTGTAGGTTCTGACCCAGAGATCTTCAGTATTTCATCTTCTCTCTAAGCCTTCTAAGGGTCTTCTCAACTCTTCAAATGTGTCAGTAGCAACTCTCCTTCCAAACAGTGTTCCGTAAGATTCTCGCTAATGTCACTGAGACTTTTGTCCTTTCGTTTCACTGGCAAAGTTCTAGGAAAAGAGGTCTGCATTTGGATCATGCCTTTTGCTTACTCCTAATCATCTTCTACTCTGCTTTCAGCTTGTCACACTCCTGTGAGTCTACAGAACTTCTGGACTTTAAGTTGTTTTGCTATTTTTGTTTTCGATCTCCTCATTGTGGGTCCATGAGGCTTGTCTACAACTCTCTTACTTTTCACACTTTTCATTCTTTCTGTGGGGAAGATCACTCACTCTGTGGGCAGCATCTGGGAGGAAACTCTCAGATATACAGAATGTGATTTAAAAAAAACTACAGTGAATGCTTACATTTAAAAATTTATTATAGAAGAAGATACATCAATCCGCCTCAAAGTAATCCCCCTCTTGTGCTACTTTCTGAAGCAGTTCTGGAAATCCTTTCTCATAAGTCTTTAGTTGCACTGTTATAGCTACCTTGATGTTCTGAATCAATTCAAGATGCTTATTTTTCATGGTTGTTTTGATTTTGGGGAAGAGCCAGAAGTCTCACTGTGCCAGATCCACTAATAAGATGGATCAGGGGGCTGGGGATTTAGCTCAGCAGCAAAAGCGCCTGCCTGGCAAGTGCAAGGTCGTGAGTTCCCTTCCCGGTACCAGAGAAAAACCAAAAAAAAAAAAAGATGGATCAGGACAGATCATCACATTTTCTCAAGCCGGCCTTTTGGTTGGATGGCAGCTGGCAGCAGCATTCCCTGTGTTTTTGATCACACCTTGTGAAGACACTCACAGAAGAGGACTTCCAGACCGACAGTACTTCAGAAAGTAGCAAAAACAATGGGATAATTGTATTCAAAAGGAGAGGGATTAATGACAGTACATCTCTTACTGTAATAACTTTGCAAAATTAAACAATCACCATATATCTTGATCATACTTCATAAATGTGCAGCATTTTTTTGAGTCTTAGAGATACTCTTTGCTAGAGATCTTGATGTACAAATAACTATCATCATCCCAATCCTTATCCATGTGAAATCTATTTGTTTGTATCCATCCTGTTGGACTGCTGTTGATATTTCTGTTGCAAAAATAGCTTCAGAGATTTAAGTGACTTACTCAAGGTCACATGACTAATAAATAATAGGACTGGGGTTCAAACTAAGTCTGGCTACTTATAAAGCCAGCTTGGGTTCACTCTCCCGGCCTCCCTCCTTGTTCTCCTTCCATGCCAGACTCTACTTTCTTTCTGAGAGACTTCTAGCAACCTTGCATGACCTCCTGGCCACCTCTGGCCTTTAACGCCCTCCCCGAGAGCGTCAAGTCTTCTATTCCATCTGAAGAACTCTTCTCACATGCCTCCTGCATACTGCATGTGACTCTGTGATCTTTCAAACTCATTATCTCTACGTGGAGAGTATTGTCCAGATTAAGTTTCATTGCTGACATAAACCTCTCCTGACTATATACATTTGTTGTTTTTATTTGTATTTTGATGAACACAACTATTTGTCCAGCTCTTGATACAGATTCATTGTTTAGAGGTTACAAGTTAACTACTCTATATGTCATTAGAGGTATTATTTGAGATCCTCTTTTGAATGTGGCTTCTAAGTGCTCTTGAGTTTAGCAAGTATTAGACTCCCTGATACACCCACCTAGTATCCCCTATTCCTTTCTGAGGTGTGAATATTGAGTGTAAAAACCGGTGTGGGGGTATAGAGCTCCAAGATGACCTTTACAGCATTATTTATAGTCCAAGAATGCTGAAAACTTCAAATGGCAGTTTAGGAAAATGGATGACCCTATTATGAGCATTATAAAGCCATTAAAAAATAATTTTTGCAAGGGATTTTATGTAAATGGGGAATGGCTTTGGATATGTTAACAACCAAAGAATCAAAACAAGTGACAATAGCAAAAATGACAAAAAGAGGATATAAATAATTTATTTATTAATATCTCAAATATATAATATAAAATATGGGAGGAAATACATAATACAAAATATGCAGAGGAAAACTTCATTAAAGGATTATTACAGTTTTTTTTTTTTTCTTTCTGACAGTTTTCTGTTCCTTGTGAGTTTTTTGCTGGCCTCTTCTCATCAAAGTAATGCAATGACTTACAACAAATAACACTAGGGCAATTTCCTATGTTTGGGGTTCCCGGAAGTCACTCTGAGGTTCAGTGGTTTGTTATGAGGGTTCAGTGTAGAATTTAGCTGATGACTAATTTATTACAACAAAAAGGTACATTAAAGAAGTTCTTGTAGCAAAATCCAGAAGAAACCAGTCACAAGCTTTATAGAGTCCTCTCCCAGTGTGTTTGCACAAGGCGTGCTTAATTCCCACAGCAGTGAGTTGTGGGAACACTTGGGACACCCCATGCCCAGTGTTTTCTTTGAGGGTTGGTCATTTAGGCAGTCTTTGCTTAGCATGAACCAAAATTTGAGACTCCCACAAAGAAAGGTACTGATAACCACATTGTGGGTACAAGACGTTGAGGTCCAGCGACCTGCTCTTAGGAGGAAACAGTGGGAACCTTCCCCACACCTGACCTTGTATGCCAGCTGGGGGGCTAACGAGCAGCTTTTAAAACTAGCAATGTCAGGCTTGCTCTGCTAACTTTTCTACACATGCTTTGCCCCTGATGCTTTGCATTTCCAAATTTCCTTAGGGCTGGTCTTGTTATGTTTGAGGCATGGGATTTGAGGGCACTGTCCCGGAGCAACTGGTTCCTCCCACCCACACCTTTCTCAGGGCCGGAGAAGTGGCCCCTGAGCAGGACCAGCCTGGGAGGCTGGCGTGGAGCCCTGGGAGCATAAGGGTGCAACACTGCCAGCTTCTGGCTCCTGGCTTTGTTTTCTTTCAGCACGAACTGCTTACAGATCAATTAGCTAGCAGTCTCTAGAACACAGGAAACACAGAGCTCACTGTCCCAGCAGGTAATTCCTGCTGGCCCTCGGGCTCTGAGCGCTGTTTGGCTTCTCTTTTGCAAACAGAGTGTGTCAACATTCCTTTGCTGGGGACCAGCTAGGGCAATGACTTCATGCCCATCTGCTGTTTCCTGGGGACACTTCAAGACGGGGGTTCACACGCTCATGTTCTAGTTTCATCTCTGTTCGGGTTGATGGTGCCGCTTCCTCCTCACGGTCTCTGCTAGCACAGGACAGAAAGGCGATGCAATGAAGGTGCTCGCTGCCGCACCCCTCCCACCCGCTCCTGTCTCCCAGCATGTGCTCTGTCACCGGTGCATATAGCTAAGCTGCAGCGTCAGTTTAACAAAGGTGTTCTTTCTGTAGATTTTATTTTAAACAGAAGAAAGTAAAAATAACAATAAAACACAGTTTTAAAATAAGCTACTAGGAGAGTAACACTGTGTATTGTTATATTCATAGTAGTTGTTTGGAGTACAAGATATAGGCATGAAATGTTGTCCAAAAGTATTAGCACAAACCTTTCTTTTCAATGAACTAAGAGAAATTAGCTATATAACTATTTTAAGTATCTGGTATATATATATTTTTATCTTTTTCCTTTCTTCCTTTCTCCTTTCTCCCACCATGCATTTTCTTTCCTTTTGAACAGTTTCTTCCCTATTCACAATATCTATTGTACACTTTGGATCTTATTTACTAGTTCAGTATCTCAAACTAGTGAGACAATACGATATTTACACATGTGGTTCTGATTTATTTCACTTATGAGTATGGTCTCAAGTTGCATCCATTTACCTATAAAAGTCTCAAGTTTATCCTTCTCTATGGCTGAATACTATTCTATTATATAAAAAACCATACCTTTTTTAGACATTCCTTGTTTGATGGACATTAGGGCTATTTCCAAGATTTAGCTATTACAAATTGTGCTGCTATAAATATGGATGCACATATATCATTGTGATGTGACTTTTTAATTCTCCTGGGAAGATACCAAGGAGAATAGCTGGGTTGGATGGGGCTTCTAATCCTAGTTTTAAAAATAAATCTCCACATTGGTTTCCATAGCGGTTGTACCAGTCTGCACTCCCACTAACAGTGGTGAAGGGTTTTTTTCCCCACAGTCCCTCCAGCATTTCTTATTGGTTGATTTCTTTCTTTTTGTGTGTGTGGTTTTTTTGAGACAGGGTCTTGCTATGCAACTCAGGCTGAACTTGAGCTCACTTTGTAGCCCAGGTTGGCGTCAAACTTGCAACGATCCTCCTGCCTCAGCCTCCCGAGTTCTGGGATTACATGTGTGTGCCACCATGCCCAGCTTTTTTTCTTTTTGGTTGATTTCTTGATGATAACCATTCTTACTGGAAGGTGGCTCTGTGGTGCAATGGATAGCGAATTGGACTTCTAGTAATAACCATTCTTACTGGAGTGAGATGGAATCTCAGTGCTGTTTTAATTTGCATCTCTTGAATGACCAGTGATATTGAACATTTTTTCATATATTTACTTGCCATTTGTATTTCTTCATCTGAGAAGTGCTTACTCATCTCAGATTCCCATTTTTGGATTGGGTCTTTGAATTGGGGGAGCCTGATCTTTTTCGTTTCTTTATATGTTCTGATAGAAGTGTGTTGTCTGAGGAACAGCTGGTTATTATTTTTTCCCACTCTGTGAGTTCTTCTCACTCTGTTGGTGATTTCTTTTAACAAAGCTTTCTTGTTGTCTCCACTCTTTTCTTCTGGCTCTTCCTGCAGTCTGTATTCAGTGGCATCCAAGACCCCTTCGGCCCCACAGACAAAACTTTTATCATAAAGGAGGCAAGCTCTGGTCTCTGTTTTACCCAGTAGAGAAAGCTTATACTTTCTTACCTGGTCCAGGCTTTATGCTTGATGAGTGCTCATGGTTATGTTTAAGTACAGCAGGCAATAGGGTAGGTAAGTTTATTGTACACACATGTTGACTTTTATTTTCTATTTTCACTTCCCCACTCTCTTTAGTAATGTACAGCGATGAAGATGAAAATGAAATAATTGAATTATCAGCGAACAAAACATTCTTCATCATGCTGAAGATTCCAGAGGAGTGTACTACCGAAGAGGAACTGCCTCACCTGCTCACTAAAAGGGTAATTGTGATTTACACATTGTTGAGTTTTTCCCTTTTTTCTTTGGATTACTGAATTTTTAACAGGAGATTATGAGTTCTGCCAGAACAATTGGCATAGAGCTTTAGAGTAAGTAGCTTCAATTCTTTATCTGAATTGTGGCAGGACAAGATGCTTACACATGTATTTTCCAAGACGAAAGGCTCGGGGGAAGAGCCCTGACCTCCAGCTCTGTGCACTGCGGAGCTGTTCTCTCACACTGGTGCTGTATTTGAGCAACCCATGGTATCATTGATGTGCTAGACAACATGATTCAGGGGACTCACAATTCAAGTAGACGTAATAAACAGTTATAAAACAATGCAATGTGTCTAATACTGAGATAAGTGGAGTGTACTTACAGCCTCACAGAAGGGGCATCTGAACTGCCTGAGGTGGGATGTAGGCGTGCAGGGTCCATTGGAGGATGTGATGGTCAGGATGAGTTTTGAAATATGAGGCAGGAATGTTTTGTGTAAAAGGTGATGGGACATTCAGGGATCTGCCAGGTGGTATCCTGTGCCTGAGCATGCTGTGCGGTGAGGACTTCCGGGGTGAAGTTGAAGAGGAAGGTAGGCGTTAGGTAATGGAAGTTTTCCCACTCTTCAGCAAGACACTGAGTTTAATCAACAGACAGCACAGTCAGATGTCACGTTAGCTGTTTGTGTGATAGTGTAGAAGGGGGCAGGAAGACAGCAGTTAGAAGGTGTTATAGCGGTCTAGCTGAGGCGTGAAGGAAGCTGAGTGAGGTCAGTGTCAGGGGATGCAAGGAACATTCAGTGACATCTAGGAGGTGTCCTCACTCAGCAGCCTGCATGACTGGTTGGATAGCGGGGAGCAGAATGTGACTGGGGCTGTGGCTGGGAGACTGGGAGGTGGGGTGGGACATGCGGAGAAGGAGCCTCTTGTGCAAGATGGGGGCTCTTCAGCAGGGTTGTGAGGACTGTGTGGGGCAATCTGGGCTTTCAAAGACAGCATGGCTGACAACCAGGTCCAAAAGATCTTATAAAAAGCCTAATTGGCTTTATTTTCAATTATACCACCACGAAGACTTCATTCTATAAAATACAGTCAGTGTTATGTTGGCAGGAATAAAGGACATCAGTTTTATAGAGAAAAGAGCCTGAAGAAAATGGAAATGAAAGGTAAAAATGGATTGGTTATTTCAAAGTTACTTTTTTGTAAGGTGAGGACAGGGAAACGGAATAATTGAAAAATAACTGATTAACATTTTATGTCAGGCTATCTCTTTTGTAGTGAGGGTTGAGGTGGAGGGACCTCATTACCATGCCGATTGAAACTGGCTTGTTTGGGGAAATTTAACTATCTTTATGATCGTGATTTCTCACGAGGTCAGATAAACAGTGAAGTTCGGTGATGTGGAATTTAAACACGAATGACTCCATCTTGATTTTGAGCTTGATCCATGCAGTAGCTGAGCCAGAAACAATGGCTTTCTGAAATTTTTATTGACTACTTTCATCTTTTGATTATGCTTCTAAGTGGCAGCCCAGCCAAAACTTAGGACATTAACATTATGGTTAACATCATTTTGAACTCCTGTTGTTAAGACATCATTCATTGGTTATGGTAGCCTCATGATGACACGTTTCTTTCAGTTTTTGTTGTTCTAGCCAAAGGTTCATTTAATATTCAACAGGTGGCTGCACACAAACATATAAAGCTTTTGAGAGGGTACAAGGCACCAGAAAGATTGCTGTTATGACTGTCGGGAGGACAATACTGAGGGTTTCAGTTATGTTCCTTAGCCAGGGTCTCCATAAATCAAACCAACTAAAACTGAGTGGATCAAAAAATGATATGGATGAGAATCTACCCCTCTTACTTAAGTCATGTATTTGTTAGTTTTTCCACCTGAGTCTCTACGCTACCCAGTTAGATATCTACATGCAGAGAAGTGCCAACAATGGCCCAGGTTCCCCTTTGTTTGGTTAGTAGGCAGTAGCTCTGCCATCTAGCATACCAGGACTGGGGTAAGTTAAAGAAGAGTGATAACTTTATAAGCGAGGCCACTAGGACAATTTGAACAAATAATTGCATTAAGGATTTTGCTAAAATTACTCCCTAGGTGGACTAAGAGATCTGTTAGGACCTGTAAAGATTTAAGTTTGACGGGATAGTGCCACCATTGTAGTTCCAACACAGTAGTTGCCCCAGGAGCTACTGATTGTGGAGTTCTAAACACAGAATTATCCCACACAATTACAGAGACAGGCATCAACAAGGAAAAATGAGGAGAAGTAATAGTCTTATTATGATAGAGAGATAATCACGATTGTTCAATTACGGTCTTAGGAGTAAGTACGATTGTCCTGATGCCAGTCTTGGAAAAAGCTGCCTATAGCATCAAATTAAATTCTTCTCCTTATTTCTAGTCTGAATATCTCTGGTTGTGACTTTATTTGTTTTGGTGAACTCTCAGTGGGGCTCTATTGGTCAGCTTTGTTTTACTGCAGTTGATTAGCTAAGACAATTACCTTACAAGGAGGGGAAAGATTTGTTTTGACTTATGGTTTCAAGGGCTTTAGGCCATGGTCACTTGATCTTATCCACTGCCCTGGAGCCTGCAGTGACATAGTGTATCTAGCAGGGAGTCTTTGGCAAAGAAACCTGCTTACCTCCTGGCAGCCAGGAAACAAAGGAAAGAAAAGAGAGGCTGCAGTTCCAGCATCCCCCGCAAGGACACATCCCCGAGACCTACTTTCCACGAGATCCCCCTCCTCAAGGTTCCACCCCTCCCAGCCGTGCCCTGGAATGGTGCCCAAATCTTTTAGTAAATGGACCCTTGGGAGACACTTACGCATAGCTGTGGCCTACACATTTGGCATGAGCCTTTGAAAGTTACATTTGCGTTGTTCATCCACTCACTGAAGTTCAAGAACAGAGCAGTTTTTGTTCTTAGTTGGAGACTTTTAGCCAGATACCGGAGAAAATTAGAAAAATTTAGAATCTAGTCCAGTCTATAGGTAGATCATAAATATTCAAAAGCAGTGAACAGGTATACAAGCTAATAACTGGTGTACTATGACTTTCTTCTGAAATGTAGTCTTTCTATGATGACTCCATGGTAAAACCACTTAGTGTGCAAAATAATTATTTTGTCTAGAATAAGCACATGAGCCCTTTTAAAATTTGTTTTGCTATAATGACAAGGAGTGGAGTTCCTTAAGCCCAGGAACTTTAGGCACATTCTTAAATATGGCATTCCTGGGAAAGGCAATATTTCCAATTGTAGCCTGTCATGAAGAGAGTAGATTTTCATTGAACTAATGCAAATAACCATATTGCTTTAAAAATAAGAATATTCACCAATAGCTTCCAGATTCTGGAGAGATCGGGTAGGGAAAAAGTAAAAGTTTCAATGTTTGCTTACAGGAATATACCTTTCCAAATTGCTGTAAACTATAGATTGCTTAAATGAAAAAATTTAAGTCTGTGAATTCTGAGAACTGGTGTTCGCAGCCCTTGTGATACTGAGGTTCCTACAAGTTACCTTTATAACTACCATTTTCAACAGTAACTTATCAGTAACTACAGATCAATAGTCAAACACTTCCTCACAATAGAAACTAACCCTAGCACCCCAAGAGCCAAAAGATGGAGCCAATATAAACTAACCCTAGCACACCTGATGCAAAAGTCTGAGTCCATTTCAGGAGGGACTCTTTACATTTTTGGCTCTGTGAGGAAGACAAGGGGCCTCCAGGGGTCAGTGGTGCCTGTCTTGTGTTTCTCAAAGGGTCTCAAGAGTTAGCAGCCCCCTTCCTAGGCCCGTATGGTTCCAGATCTGTCACAGGATAAAATTATAGCAGGTTAAAGATCTTGATTGGCTCCTAAAGGTTCCACACCTCCCAAAGTGCCAGAGAATGGTGCCCAAACCTTTTAGCAAATGGTCCTTTGGGAGACACTTCACCAGTTAAGTGAAGTAGCTGGCTTTGGTGGTGCACGCCTGTGATCCCAGCACTTGAGAGGCTGAGGCAGGAGGATCACAGTGAGTTTTAGGCCAGCCTGGGCTATGTACGGAGTTCAAGGCCAGCCTGAACTATATAGGGAGACTCTGTCTCAACAGACAGACAAACAAATAAACAAACTACAAAAATAGTGAGTGCATTAGTTTTTATTTTAAAAAAAGAAAAAAATTAAATACCTGGAAAGAGGCTCAACTGTGCTAGTAAGCCAGGCAACACAAACGGTATGAAATGCAGTATTATATCTTTCAAATTGGGAAAAGTTTGAAAGTCTCACAAGAATGTGAGAAATGGAACGTTACTAGGAGGAAAGTAAAATGGAGAATAATTTTGCAAGATTTAGTTGAGTTGAAGGTTACCTGATCTCGGACCTAGCAAATCCATTCCTTGGTATATTCTCAGGGAAACTTGTCCCTGTTTGAGATGCACAGATCCTCAAAGATGACTGCTTCAGCCTACTTTGAAACAGGGGAATTGGAAGCGATGCATATGACCATCAGAAGGGAAGAGATGAGCTGGTAGAATCATGCAATAGAATTTATGAAGGAGCTAGATTAAATAAACTTCACAGAGATGTACCCT